GTATAACTTTTTCACCGACTTACCTCTTAGTACCAACTGCATCATTTCATCAATGAAGACAATAGAAGGGGAAAGGTCATCAGCAACTCTGAAGAGTTCCCTAACTAACTTGGGACATCTCCCAAGTACTTCTGAATTAATTCACTGCCAACAACACGTAAGAAAGTTGCTGATGTAGAATTAGCCACAGCCTGAAAGAACATAAATTGATATAACAAAATCAGATCCAACTTTATACGAAAAAAGATCTATAGAAATGCTGTAAGAGTGTAAACTTCAAACACAAAGACACACCTTTGCAAGCAAGGTCTTGCCTGTCCCAGGCTCTCCATACAAGATAACTCCTTTTGGAGGCTTGATACCAATGTCCTCATATAGTTCAGGGTGGGTTAGAGGGAGCTCAACTGCCTCTTTAATTTCCTGTATCTGAGCATCCAAACCTCCTATATCAGCATAAGATTCCAAGGGAGCCTTTTCGACCTTCATCACTGATACCATGGGATCAACATCATCTTGCAGAAGTCCAACAACAGAAAGAACCTGAGAACATACAATAACCACACATAAATTTCTTCCGAAAACAAAGAAATTACAAGGGATGGAAGAAGAAGAAGAAATGGATGCAAAACCCTCAAACAAAAAGAAATGTATACTAGTATTTTGGACCAGCACTCTGAGATGTTACATCCCATGCTTGAGCTCGTTGGACCCATTTAAGAATCAAACAACTAACCAAAAGTTCATATTTCTAAAGCTCATCAATTTCAACAGAATTCTTTCACATAAGATATTAACCCAATCATCATTCTAAATCGTAACAGTTCTATTAGCTTGCGGCTGCTGATATAAAAATAATATAATTACCAAGCACTGAACCTAAATTAATAAACACACACACACACCCACAATAGATCAGTGTCCTTTCAGATGAAATAATACTTCAGTTTTCCTTTAACAATCACAGATCATAAACCCTAAAAATAAAAAAAAATAAACAAAAATTCAGAAAGCTTAAGCCTTTAATTTACCTTGTTGTGCATCAAAATAGCACATCCAGGCTCCAACTGATCCTTATCCACAAAAGATAAAATCCCAACATAATACTCCGGTCCAACTGACGATGAAACAATCGCATGATTCTCATCGATCAGCTCCTCCAAATTACCCACGCTCATGGGTGATCCTCTCAAATCGTCGACTTTAGATCTATCTTCCTCGGCTTTCTCTTCCTGCGGCTTGAGCCGTTCCTGATTAGCAACGAACTCTTCTTCCATAAGTAAATAGTCCTTGACCCGCTCCAGTTTCAACAGCCGTAGCTTACACTTGGTATGCGGCGTCACAGTCGGGATACGCGCCGCCGCTTCGGGTCCTTTTTGTTTTCGTTGCTTGCGACCCACCCTGGCTGGAGGTGCCGCCGGCTCAAATTTCTTCTCCTTCTTATCAGAGCCATCCTGTTTTCGGTCCCCTGGAAAGCCTTGCCGATTCAGGCCGCCTGGTGTTCCCTGACCCATAATTTAGGGTTATTTTGAACAAGATTTCGAGGACTTCTTTTCTTTTGTTTAAAATAGGGTGTTTCTTTTAAAAACAGGGGAAGGGTTCTTATTTATTAATTCTTATCATTTCCATTTTGGTCCTTAACATATAGATAATTTCCATTTTGGTCCTTAACATATAGATAATTTCCATTTCGGTCCTTAACATATAGAGAATTTCCATTTTGGTCTTTTTTTAATTCTGACCTGTGCGTTAAAACAGAGAAGAATATTTTGACTTTTTGAGTCAATAAAATTGTTATCACGTACTTATGTAATTATTTTAGTTTTATATATATTATTTAAATATTTTAATATGAAGTTTCATTTTTATTTAAAATAACTCTAATTAGATAAAAATTATCAATTAAATAATCACTAATATTTATCATTAACACAATAAATTCAATGTGTTCAAAAATATTAATATTATATTATTGTTTTTTTAATAGAAACAACTAATCTTATTAAAAATTGAAAATATCTAAAATTATAATAAGATTTTACAACTATCGTTATAAATTAAATATATAATTTAAATATTTTTCTATAACATTGAAACTAACCGCTTTAGATTATATAGACATGGAAATTAAAAGTTAAAAATCCAACAAAAAACTCGAACAAAAAATATATAGGAGCAAATATGGTTGGATTGACAAACAAACCAAAAAAGAAGATTAAACTATTAAAATACCACCGAGAACCACAAGTCATAGTAGAGCGTCGTGAAAAATTATTAACGAACATAAAATTACGTATCTAAATTCAATTTGAGGATCCATAGCATGGAAAATCAACAAGATTACAAATAAGCATAATCTTGATCAGTCGTGGTATCGTCAAATCCAACATTGAGAAAATATAAAATAAAATTAACAACCAAACAATCAAAAAAGAAAATAAAAATATTTCATAAAAGTAGAGAAAAACATGTCAAAAAGATATAAAGAATCGAGAGTGGTTACCATCATCAAAATCTAATTGAATACAGTTAAAACTCTATAAATTAATAATGTCAGGACCGGAGAAGTTTATTAATTTAGAGAGTTATTAATTTATCGATAAATTAATAATTATTAATTTAAAGAGTTTTTAAGTAATTATACTGTACATACCAAACAAAAAGGCAAAGTAGTCTATGCCTCTTAGAATTACGTTGTAAGAAATTAGTTAAATTAATAATGAGCTCCAAATAGACTTGAACTTTAAAGGAAAACAGACAACTATTGAATCATATTTCAATAGAGTGTAATATATTTTTTTCAGTTTCTATGAATTATTAATTTATGATTTTCTTGGAACCGAAAATTATAAAGGGATCTCACGAAAAATTATTATCTTATTATTTTATCGAGTTTTTCAATTTTTTACGTTGGCCCAAGTCGAGACTGGACAAATTTATTATTTTAGAGAGTTTATTAATTTAACGAATATTAATTTAAAGAGTTTCTACTGTACCTACAAACACACGAATGCAGCAGTTACCAAACCAAACAGGAGAATAGACAATCTCCCATAAGCACTCGCACCCAAATTCACTTTTAAATTTCATTTTTTATAGACGCAGAATAGATTTAATACATATTCAAATTTGAGCAATAGTGTTTGTCTAATTTGTGCATAAAAATTAATTTAATTAATAGTTTTGTTGGTTTAATCTTTTTAAATAATTCAAAAAATACAAATATTCAACCGTCACAATTCTTAAATCTAATTGGATATGTCATTTAAATGAGGCAGCTCAACGAGACCGAATCATGTCATTATGGGCTCTGGACTAGTTAGATTTAAATTCTTTCGAGTTCATGTCTTTGATTTGGGTTTTTCATATTTGAAATTTTTGTGTTTAATTTTTTTTTAGATATTTAGCGACAACCGTCGTCTACCCGCCTAGATCCATCCCTGATCAAGGTGAAGATCCAAACTGAGAAGATAATAATTTTTTTTGAACATATATTATTTAAAAATATATTAAAATAAATATTAACAGGGGTGAAGTACATAACTATGATATTCTAATAATTATAGGGAAAATCATAAAACGTAAATAAAAGAAAAATATTAGAATCTCAAACGTGAATTTAAAGATATACACACAAATCTATTCTATCGAAATATATCGCATTGATATTATGTTTCATCCTAACTCCTCATTTGACACGGGCATCCTCCTCTTATAAGTGAGTGCTAGACACAGCAATTAGTGTAGCTGTTTCATGGAAGCGGGGTGTTTAAGTACCATTATTTTTGTGTTGTGTATGTATATAAGCTTTGCTGTTTCCTTAACTTTATTTGACTGACTTCCGACAACAAGTGGTGATGTCTCATGTCTGTCACCCGCTAGCTGCTGCTGATGATGAAGTGGCCGAGAATCGGATATTCATCGCAGGTAGTTTACTACATGTACAAATGAAGCTTTTTTTCCCCTCTCTTTTTTGCTGTAATAACGGTAGTGATTTAAAAGTACGTACAAAGGTTGGGTCTATCTGCAAAAGCAAAACCCTAAATTAAATGCAGACCTACCAGCTGTTCTGCATGTCAGTAGGTAAAAGGTCATGCATGGTTATTCATTTGGTAGCTAGAGCTAGGTTTTCCATCACTGGTGTTAAACCCGAAATTAAGTTTTGGTTTCAGGATCCCCTGACACCCACGCTCATGGTAGGTCATCTCTTTAATGAAAATATTTACTCCACCATTGGAATACCTCTCCTGCGTCACACTTGTTTCATGCATGTGATCTCCCGATACTTTTGACAGATGAATCTGAAACATGTGTCCTAGATCCGGTCTTGTCTGAGACCCTTTTTATCGGAAAGCACTTATATTTGAAGACAAAGAAGTGCACAAGATTTTAAATTATTTTAAATTAAAAGACGAATTTATAAAACTTTAATAGAAAATTAACTTATAATTTTTTTTACTTTCACAACATTAAAAATTAGAACTTTGTTTTAACTTAAACTTTTTAATTTACATTAAAAACTAGAACTTTGTTTTAAATTAAATTTTGTTTTAAATTAAACTCTTGCATACATCCTAAGTATTTGTCGATTCTTATTATTTTGAATAAAATTGTCCTTTTAAGTTTTCTTCCTATTAACTCATTTGTTAAATATTTTAATTGGGTGACTAATTACTTGAGGGAATTGTTTAAAATGACTTATAGAATGTTATGCATCGATATAAATTAAGATAAAATTAATATACATATAGATATTGATGTATAACATTAGTAATATATATCATACATGTGAGTAGATTTATTTTAAATAAAGTCAAATATATTAAAATATATAGTTATTAATTATATTTATAAATTAAGAAAAATTAACATTATATAAAATGTTATTTTTGTAATAATCAAGATAAATTAAGCAGTTAGGATAGATGAACATAAAAAAATTTAATGGGATGATGATTAATGATAATAACGGACGGCCCAAATAAAATACTAGGAAAGAAATAAGAGAACATAACAATCATTAGATTCAAATGGTTAAAAAACAGTAAAACGCACACACATCGACTAAACAAGACATAACCAAAAAGGAAAGACGATCTGACCAACACGGAATAAACTATTTATGGTAAGGCCTGGACCATAACTATTTCAACTTTCAAGGTAAAGGAAGTGCACCACTCCCACCGCCAGCTCCAGCTCCTGCTCCTGCTCCGCCTCCAACTCCACCGCCAACAGCTCCTCCTGCTCCACCACCAAGTCCACCCAGACCTCCATCACCGCCTCCGATGCCACCAAGTCCACCTAGACCACCACCACCACCACCACCTAAACCACCAAGGGGTGTAAACCCAGCGACACCCCCAGCACCAGCAAATGGCAAGCCATTGGAGCCGATACCCGAGAAGCCCCCAACGCCACCGTAAGTGAGGAAATTCTTCTGGTCTTCAACGGACGCACCGCTAGGCACGCTGCTGGGCACGGTCACTGTAGTGGTTGTGGGCACATTTCTTGCACCAGCGTGAACCACAACTAATGCAAGAACGAGGAACAGATACCTCTTTGCCATAACTCAACACTCTCTCTTCGGTGTGTTTGTTGTCTCCTGACATGCGTCGAAGACCTGCTTTTAAAGGCTAAAGGAAAAAAAAGGTGTAGTGAGGGAGTAGTTGTGAGTAGTGAATATGGTTTAAATGCGGAGGCGCAGAACTTTTGTATCTTAAATTTCCCGAGTCTCTGCATTTATGTACTCATGAATTCATAAACCGAACAAATTAATACTACAATGAGGAAATTTCAGTCATATATTTAGTGTAAAATGTGGCAAATATGTACGTGTTAAATAAGCATTGTTTTCCCTTCTCTTTTTCCTAATTCCCCAGCTACTGCAACGAATGGTTCGTCATCGTTTACCTCTCCAACACACGTACATACAGTAAAACAATAAGGAAAAAAATTGAAGAAAAACAAAGAGAATACATGTATAATAATTAAATATACACACCGACAAACCACTGCCATGTTTCCTTCATGCATGAAAACGAATGGACAAATGTACGATAAAAGATAATCTTTTCTTGCAACCCTTTTGATTTGGTTTTCTGCCAAGCTAACAACCAGTCCAAAAGGACAGCTAGTGAAATGAGCCAGCAACAATAGTTAGTGATGACTCGTCAAGGACAACGTGAAAGAAGGGATTAACGCAGGATTTAAATCGCGGTTATAATTTTATATTCAGTTGTGTTATGTTAATTGTGATATTACAATAGTTATGAATATCACTATCATACAATAATAATATAAGATAGTACCATTATCATACAGTGAGAGCTGAATGCTGTTATGGTCGTGAACCGCTATTTAAATTCCTTCGTAGTTTAACACGTTATCTTTCTTTTTCAAAAAAAAAAATAGCAACATGGTGGAGACAGACAGAGGGGTGAGAGATTGGGAGATGAGTTTTGTGAAGTGATCAATGGCCCAAAATGTGGAAGAGAGGATTGGGTGGCCAGAAAGCTATTGGCTCAAGTCTGTCTCTTCTGACTGGGTGGATGGCCTTAACTATATATGTGCAGTCTCTGTCTGCCTTATGCATGCCTATTGGGTCAACTCTCGTGCTGCAGCACCTAGTGATCAGTGAATGAACCACGACTGGTGCGGTTCTACACCGCCAATCCCCTCCAATTTTCCGCATTATATCCACACCCATTTATACTGTAACACCCTTAAAATGGGTCCAATAATTTGTCGACTTTTGATGATCCGAAATTAATTTTTTAGTAACTGCAATTAAGTTTTCGAATCATTAAGTTTAAGTTTAGAATTAATTATAAGTCGATTAGTTTATTCTTGAAGATTTCATGAAAAGGGATCGAAATGTAAGATTTATGAAATTTATAGTTTTTTTAATATATGCGAAGTTGAAAGGCTCATCCTGAACATATTTTATTTAAAAGATAAGGCCTTATTTTTAAGTTTTTAGAGATTTCTTTTTTTGGAAAGGGCTTGATAACATCAATGTCTAACCCCCTTAATTTAGGGTTTCAAGTCGTTCTAAAAATGGTGTTTATATGTTCTTGAGGTTGAATTGATGAAGTATGTGTTTATTTTTCTTGTATACAAGAACGGATTGAATAAACCATCCAACGAAAAGGAAAATTATAGTGGAATTGTGATTCAAGACATCCATGAATTCGGGATTAATCGGTGAGTGTAGTTTATATTTATGGGTGATTCAGAGTCACTCTAATTAAATTTTGATACTTAATTTATTATGCAGATGCATTTATAAAATCAACTCACATACAACTTGAATGACAAAGATAAGTGATAACATGTATATGGTAAGATCATATGTTCAATTTTATGTTTTGGTGATACCATATTGTGATATGACAAATGATTTAATCTAAGTGTTAAACATGCATGAATCAATCTTTGTATCAATCTAAAGTGAAGCTATAAGCTCATCCATGACTTGGTAAGCTAAGGTATGATCTAATATGTAAAAGATATGATGAATATTGTCCTTGGATGATTTTTTTTGGGGTACAAATGGCATACCATAGAGTATGTCTGAGCTCATGTTAGAGTTAAATTACGATCCATGGATTACGATCCGTATATTGAGACATTAGGAGGGATGTTATGGTTATTAGTCATTGGCGACAATTTGGAGGGATAGATCAATCTTTGTTATTTGGCTACAGATTGATTAAGGATTCGCCTATCCATAGCTACTTAGATTCTAATTGTTTAAATTATGATTTTCATTGAGTTAAAAATCTTTGTTATAATTGAATATTGATATGAATATGTTAATACATGACGTACAATTCAATTAAGTTGATACAATCACTCTGCTATGTTAATTTTTTAATTATAGTTATTACCTCACTAAGCTAAATAAACTTACACATCTTTGGTTTAACATTTCACGAAATCAATCTCGCTAGTTCGTGATCGTATCTAGGGTTAAAAGTCACTCTGTGCTAAACCAATGTAAAAGATATTTTGATTAATCGCCTAGATTGTGGCATATGCATTTTGATGTGTAGATGACTTGTAAATATATTCATATGTCATCATAGCATAATCATGCATGTTTTGAGTAGTATATATGCATAGTATGTTCGATATGTTAAGTGGAAAATTGTTCTGGATGATTATGATCACGATAATATGTTTGATGTGTTAATTGGTTTAGATAGGATTTTATGATAGATAAGATAATGTTGTTGGTGGTTATGAAATTATCATGTTTTATGATGATTGGTGTGTAAAATATAAGGTAGTTGGCATGAAATTATTATGATGGAGCATGTATTTGATTGTATGTTGGTTGATAAATGTAAGTTGTTGAATTATTAAGTTTTGATTTAACCGTCTAATAAAAAATCCGAAAATCAGTTTAAGAAACAAATTTTAGGTTGCAACCGATTTTTCATATACAAACCAGATTTTTTTAGGTTGAAACTTAATTTTTCATATAGAAACCAAATTTTAAGTTGCAACCTGAAAACCCTATTTTTTTATATGGAAAACAGATTTTAGATTGGAAACCTTATTTTGTATAAAACCAAAATTCTGATTGGATTATATTTTTTAGAAAATTTTTAAGTAAGTACCTAATGTTTTAATATTTGATATTATGTGCTATGCAAGTAGTAAATTGCATAATTTAAGTTATTCTTGTCTAATTATAATCTCGAAATATTTTTTTTAGTTCTTAAAACAGAAATTTGTTACTTTATAGTTATTTACACTTAGACCCTTCAATTTTGCAAGTTTCAATGTGGTCCTTAAGTAAGATAACACTTTCGAAATCAACCAAGGGTCAATCTCTCTTTCCATATAGCCTTGGAGCTTTTCTCCCACCTCTTTCACTAACCAAAGACAAGAAAATGGATTACTATTTCATTTTGGGAGCTCATGGAGGGATTAAGAACACTCTCTAATGTTCAAGTCTCCCAAAAATATGTTAAAATCTCTTAGGTCTCTAAAACCCCTATAAGACACATCTATAGCTACAATAGCTCAAACCTTGTGTTTGGGGTTTGAAATGGAGCTCTAATGATGGAGATGACAACTCTTACCTTTGTAAATCCGAAAAAGGCTTGGAGAACTACACAATTTTTATATTTGCTTAGGTTCCTTGAAGAGAAAAGAAAAGATTAAGGAGAAAGAATGAGACAAAGGGGTAGAGACAAATAGGAGAAATTTTAGCCTCTTACTTAACCCCAATAAAAGGATTTCAGTTTTGTTTTGAAAGATGGGGAATTCACTCTTTTGAATCTTCATCTTTTCCCATAAGGTTAAAAATATCGTTTTGAACATCTGCGGGCCCAAACACCAAGCCCAACTACACTCCAAATGGACCAAGATCTCCTACAAGGTAATTGGGCTCGCTCAAACCATCTCGGGTTAACCCGAAACTTCTATCCTGAGGTTTGGGGTGTTACACTCACTAATCAAGAAATTAAATACAAGTGTTACTAACGTTGTTGGGAAGCTTAAAAAAGAGTTTAGAACATTTTTTGAGGCTTGAATCTCTCAAAAATGAGCTGGGATATCTTGGGTTTCCTAAAACCAACTTATGACAACCATGGTCAAAACTTGATGTTGAGTGCCTGAATGAAAGCTCTAGTGATGAAGTTTTTGATTCTTACCTATTTTTAATTCATGTAACACTTACAACACTACCAAATTTGCACCTTAGTTGGTTCTAAGTTGAGCAAAAAAAAAAAAAGAAGAGGGAGATAAAGGGAGGAGAAGAGACAAAAGAGTGAAGAAAATGAGATGCAAGACGTGGCCTCATTTCCATTTAATGGAATTCAGCCTTTCAAATTTAAAATGATATAATTATCTTATTGGTCCTCCTAACTTTGGTTACAACTTAAAAATGCCCTTTTTACTAACTATTGAGCTCAATCCAAACCCAATTTCTCTCAAACTTGGGTCAAGGCTTCCTACAAGTTATGTGGCTTATCCAAGGTCCTCTCGAATTAGCCCGAAACTCTTAACCTAGGATTTGGGGCGTTACAGTTATTATAATTCCCACTAATTTGTAGATAATACTAACTTTTATTTGTTTTTCAAGCTAATAAATGGATCACTTCTTAAATACATTATATACAAATATAAGCACGAACCAAGTGACCTCGGTAATAAAGAAATTGTTATTATTTCTTGAGATCTTGGGTTCGAGCATCAGGAATGCTAGAGGTGTGAACGTTTAATGTCAAATGGTTGAGAATTATCTTTAAACAGATACTATCTTGTATTTGCCCAGATTAATATAAAAATATATACAAATATAACAACAATGAAAATATATATTCTTTTAAGTGTAAATATTTAATACACTAATAACGATGAGCTAGATGATAATACACCATGAAGAATATGATAACAGACTGATATCTAATTTACTAAATAGACACGTGTCTTTACACGTAAACAATTTAAAGAGAGAAAAAAACTTTCCCATGAAAGGAACGAGTTTGGTTGCCACTGAAATGCAATATAAAAATAATTAATAAATTTATTTATGAATACAATATTAGTCTTACAAAAAAAAATACAGT